TATTACATTAGTCACCATACAGTACATTAGGGTTTTTTTTTTTTTTTAAGATTTTATTTCTTTATCTGACAGAGAGAGAGAAATCACGAGTAGGCAGAGAGACAGACAGAGGTGGGGGGCGGGGGTGAAGCAGGCTCCCTGTGGAACAGAGAGCCCAGTGCGGGACTCGATCCCAGGACCCTGGGATCATGACCTGAGCTGAAGGCAGAGGCTTAACCCACTGAGCCACCCAGGCGCCCCAGTACATTAGTTTTTGATGTCGTGTTCCGTTGATTCACTGTTTGCGTATAACACCCAGCATTCCATTCTTGAAAGGAGAGCCAATTTTTGCTTGGCACAACTAAATATTTAGTTGTCTGGTACTGACAGTATTATGCAGTTTGGCTATGTCCAGAGTGCTGAAACATCACAGTATATAAATATAGTAAAAGATCAGAATAGCCCCATTTGATAGCAGCTGCATGTAGAAATATTTTAAATAAGATAACTTTATGGAGCTATAATTTACAAATGATAAAAGATTACAGATTTTATGTATGGATTTTGATGACTTGAGAAATGTGCATCCTGTATAACCACCACCCCAATCAAGATTTGACAGCTATCCAATACCACAGAAGGTTCCTTTTGTGCCCCATTGGGGCAGTTCTGCCCCCCACCTTCTCCCAGACAAACATGGATCTGATTTCTGTGGCTGTTCTCAAACTTCATATAAATGGAACAATACAGTATGCATTCTTTTGTGTCTGCCTTCTTTCTTTATATGAGGTCTGTTTGATTGATGCATGATTATGCATGTATAAACAGACTGTCCCTTTCTGTTGGTGACTACTATTCATCTTATGCCCATACAACACTTGCTTGTGAATAGATGTTCATCTGTTCTTGGGCATTTGGGTGGTTTTCAGCTTTTGACATTTTGAATGAAATTGAAAGGAACATTTGTTTACAAATGTATTTGCATCTTTTGGGTGGAATTGCCAGGAGCCACAGAGTAGGAACATCTTAAATCTATAATAAAATAGCACAACATTTTCTAAAGTGATTGTATAATTTTCCAACCCTGCTGACATTGTATGAATGTTCTGGGAGCTCCACAGCCTCACCAATAATTGATGATGTCAGTCATTTAATTTGAGTCATACAAGTGGGTGTGTAGTATATCTCATTTTGGTCTCTTTGATGAATAGTGAAGTTGAGAATTTTTTTATTTACTTATTGACCATTCATGAACCTTTTCTTCCATAGAGCATGATAAGTCTTTTGCTCATTTTTTTATTGGGTTGTCAAGTCTTTTGTCAGATAAATATATTACAAATATCCTTGACTTGGTTTTCCTTTTTATTAATGATGATTCTGAAGAATTTATTATGATTAAAATTGAGTTTATCAATTTGTCCTCTTTGGGTAATGCTGCTTATATGTTAAGAAATCCCCTAATATCCCAGTATCATGAAGATTTTATCTTAAGTTTCATCCTTGAGTTTGATTGTTTTAGCTTTTTTTAGGTCTGTGGTCCATTTCAAATTAATTTTTATGTGGGAGGTGAGGTAGAATCAGCTAGCTAGTTTGGATTTTGTTCACATGTGGATATCCACTTGCTGTAGTATCATTTGCTGAAAATGCTGCTCTTTCCCTATTTAATAACCTTGTCATAGCCGTTGAAAAGCAGTTGAGTGTGTATATGTGTGTGTGTGTGTGTGTGTGTGTGTGTGTATGAATTGATATAATCTTTTCTGTTCCAGTAATGTATTTGCTTATCCTTAAGCCAAATGACACTGTCTTCATAACTGCAGCTTTACAGTAATTGTAGAAATCAGTTAAAATGGGTCTTTAAATTTGTTCATTTTTATTCCAAATTGTTGTCATTCCATCTGATAATACTTACCTTTCACTTGAAATATTTTCTATAATATTTCTTGCAGTGCAAATCTATAGGTGAATATTTTATCAGGTTTTATTTATCTGAAAATTAATTTTACTCCTTTTTGAAGGATATTTTTTGTAATATATAAAATCTCAGCTGACAGTTTATTTCCCTTACTGCTTTAAAGATGTCATTTCATGGTCTTGTTGCCTTTTCTGTTTCTGATGAGAAGTTGGCTACGTTCCTGTCATGTTCCCTGTATGTAGTATGTTATACTACTTTAGCTGCTTTCAAAGAATTTTCTTTTGTCTTTCATTTTTAGTGGTTTGTATTTATTTATCAAGATTTATTTATTTATTTGAGAGAGAGACAGGAGAGAGAGCAGGGGTAGAGGAGGAGGGAGAGAGAGAATCCACAAGCAGACTCCCTGCTGAGTGCAGAGCCCTGACTTGGAGCTTAATTCCAGGATCTGGAGATCATGACCTGAGCCAAAACCAAGAGACAGGCACTTAACCAACTGAGCAACTCGGGCACCCCATTTTCCTTTGTACTTAATCATGCTTGGTTTTGCTGTTCTTCTTAAGATTGTAAATTGGCTCTTTTGACCAAAATAGGGAAATTTTGTTGATGTTATTTCTTCAACTTTTGTCTGCTTTGACCATTATTCCCATTCCATTGTCTGTCTTCTCCTTCTGGACTCTAAATACATGTCTGTTAGGCCATCTGATTCTATCTTACAAGTACCTAAGGCTCTGTTTATTTTCAAAAATTTTTATTGTGTATGCTTTAGTTTAATAATTGCTATGAATCTGTTTTAATGTTTACTTATTCCTTTTTCTGCCATGTCTAATCTGTTATTAAGCCTATTCAGAAACTTTTTATTTCTGCTTTTAAGTTCTAGAATTCTATTTGTTTCTATCTTACAGTTTCCATTTCCTTGCTGTGATTCCCTATCTGTTCCCTCATCAAGACCATTTTTTCTTTAGGTCCTTAAACTTTAATAGCTACTTAATAGCTTTAATAGCTACTTAAAAAGTTCTTGTCTACTAATTACATCTGGGCCATCACAGGGTCTCTTTTTTAAAAAGTGAGTAAGGCTCACATTCACCTGCTTATTTGCATGCTAAATACATTTTTATTTTATGTTGGACATTATGAATGTTGCAGTGTTTGGATTTGGGAGAACTTGTTATGTCAGGCAGTTAATACTGATGGCTGTTCTTAAATTTGTTGAGGTTTGATTTTAGTCTTTTTTAGGGCTGGTCCAGAATACTCTAGGACATGGTTCTTACTGCAGAAGTATGGCCTTTTTGGTGTCTCAGTCAAATTCTCAAGGTGTTTTACGATCTCTGCACTCTGGTCTCTCCACTCTCCCAGTAAGTGTGACCTCCGCTATCTTCATTTTACTTGCAGCTCTGTATCAGATGTTCTCTTCTTCACTTCACCCTCTCACCTTGTGCAGGTACAGTCCAGCCCTTGACCAAGGTCTTGCAAAAACAAAACAAAACAAAAACAAACAAAACCCCAGAGATTTCTGGGGTCCGTTCTCTCTAGTGTTTGTCCTCCAGTTTTCAGCTGCTTCACCAGCACTGAACTGCAATGTGGGTCCCCTCAACACAGCAAGACTGCCTTTTCTCCACCTCTGCTGCTCTCAGGAAATTGTCCACAGGCTAACAGTGTCACAGGGCTGACATTTGTACTTAGGAATTCCGTTTCTGCGGTGCCTGTTGGCCAGTGTCTAAAAACAGTCACTTCCTTTGTTTTGTCCAGCTTTATAGTAGCTGCTGGGAAAAGCCACTCTGTCTCAGCCAGAAGCCTACATGTGGTAGAAATATACTTTTGAAAGTTTTTCTTAAGATACTGGTTCTCAAACCTCAGCACATATTAGATTCATCTGGAGGACTGGTTTACACACAGATTGTTAGGCCCTGTCTTTTACAGTGTCTGATTCAGGGGGTTGAGTTCAGGCCCAGCAATCTGAATTTCTAACACGTGTCCAGGTGATGCAGGTGCTGACAGTCTGGGAACCAAACTTGGAGAACCACATGTTTAGAAAGATGGACCTTGAGAAGAAGTGTTGGACTCTATTTGGGATTTACTATGCACAATTTTACCTTTTTTTTCTTTTTTTTAGTCCTATGTCCTGTATAACAGACTTATATTTCAGTTGGTTTATTATAATGCTTGCAATCTTGCTCTTTTTATAAAAATTATGATTTTCATAAATTGTGGGGTTTTTTTCATTGAATAAGGGATGCACCATTTAATTGATAGAAACAGAAAATATATAAGAGAGTAAGTAAGGTTATTAAATATTGTCATTCTTATTTTTTTTTGCTTGCACAAATAATTTGGTTTGTTCATCCTGATAAGAAACTTACATAACATGAAGTTCGATAAGTTTCAGAAACCAGTGTGTGATTTTTGTTTCAGAAATCGAGTTTCATTTTAATTATTCTTGGACCTGTGTGTGTATGTGAGTTATATGTATGTGTATTTTGTAGGTAAGATGCAAAATAGTGATAACCATTTGCTGGATTGCTGGACTTGAGCCATATCTCTTCCTCAGGTTTCCTGAAATCTCACCCCATTCTTTATAGCTAGCAAGAGCTCTATTAATCCATCTACCTCAGCATATTCTGTCCTCTCCTTTACCTTCATTTCCAGTGGCTCTATCTCTCCTTGTTTGTCAGGATTTTGAAATTTATTGCTTTCTTTTATTCTCTCTAATATCCATGCATTTCCCAATAGTATAAGGCTGTACTGATGTCAAATTGATGACTCCTGTCCATGAAACTGACATGATTTTTGCAATGGCAGCCAGGAGAGAAAGTGTCTTCCCACCAGCATTACAGTATTTATTACTTGGTTGGAAAAATTGATTGGTATTATCCCTTCAAATTCTAACCAATCTCTGACAGATTTTTTTTATTTACCAACTTTCGTTTCTCAGAAAAATTGGTACAACAGCCTTTGGTGGTTAGATTAAAAGCCTCTTTGATGGCACATTTTAAAATATTGTTCTAGTTGTAATGTATGATTATTATAATTGCAGTCTCAAATTCAGAGGTCTGCTAATATTTAGATATAGGCATAATGAAATACTAATTACTAAATACTAATTACTCAACAGGTTCATTTCGATGGCTGGGACCACAAATATGACTACTGGATGGATGCAGACAGCCCTGACATTCACCCAATTGGGTGGTGTGATATAACAGGGCATCCACTGGAAATCCCATATCGTGAGTATTTTGCTCTTTGTTGTTGATTTTTAAGTACTCAGCCTGAATTCTTACCTGAATGCTATTTCTTTCATGTCATTGTAAGTATTTTATTTTATTTTTTTTAAAGATTTTATATATTTATTTGACAGAGAGAGATCACAAGTAGGCAGAGGCAGGCAGAGAGAGAGAGGAAGAAGCAGGCTCCCCGCTGAGCAGAAAGCCCGATGCGGGGCTCGATCCCAGGACCCTGGGATCATGACCTGAGCTGAAGGCAGAGGCTTTAACCCACTGAGCCACCCAGGCGCCCCCATTATAAGTATTTTAAAAATAAATATCAGATAGCTGATTTGACTAATCAGTGTTATAGCTATACTGCAATCTAATTATTCAGTTAAGCCTCAAAGGAGATACTTTATAAAAGAAAAGTCATAATAATCATTAAAGAATTATTTTGATAGTGTTGTCTAGAAGAATCTTTATTTTCTACATTTTAGTTTGGAAAACTTAACCCAGCCTAAATCCATCTAATTTGCATCATTGATTTTTCACCGAAGTGCATTTTGTTTTTTTTAAACATTCCATCTTAATTTTTTATAGATTAAATTTCAAATAGTTTTAGAATAAACAAATATTTTAAATTTCAGCAGTTAAAAAAACTTTAGTTGAAAAAAAAGTCAGCTGTTATGTTGGTATCTTCATTTCTTCTTCCTTTCCAGCTACTTAAAGTTAAGGAGGAAATTAACCACTCTAAATTTTAATGAGCCTTGAACCAAAATATCTTATTCTTTTGTCTGAAGGATTTCTTCGATCAGATTAGGCTGACATGACTAATAGCGGGTTCCAGACACATGTGCAGGCACTGCATTCTTTTGTTTGTTTTGTTCCCTCACTGACTCTGTGGCTCTCCCGTTGGCTTCTTGGGATGAATCTAGCACATTATTCTGTTAATGAGGCTGTCTTCCATTGAGCCAGCCCGATGATGCTTGAAGTGCAGCTCTAAAAGGACTAACAGCATCTTTGAAGTAATTCCTTGACTTCTTATAAAAGTGAGAAGAGGTCCTGACTTAATAATTCAGCAGACATGTTTACCTTGTGGTAGGTGCTTCAAAAACGACAAAAAATCAATAAGGTACAGGTCCTTATGTAATGTAGAGTGCATTAGCCAGCATGGTGTCTCTATATACAGAATGTAAAACCAGAGACCGTGGTCAGCCCTGTGTTGGAGGGATGGTGTTAGTATTTGTGCTTTGTGGGGTTTTCCTGATTTCACTCTTTACTCCGCCTGATTTCACTGCCCAATATGTCAAAGAGATGTTTCTCATTTTATGATAACTTCTCCTCTCCCCCATTGACAGGCACACATCCATCCTCATCATAGTAACATTCTCAAGGAGGAATGGTCTCAAGGAGTGGGGATGGGTCAGCATTTCAGGGACAAGGACAGCTCTCTACACTCCCTCTCACTCGTTGCCTGCTTCATTGTGAAGCCACCTAACTGGTTTCTGGAACAGAATGTCTCACAAACATCCCAAAGTCTGTGGATCAAGCTGAACTTCATCCCAAACAAAAACCAAAAACAAAACAAAACAGACAAAAAAACCCACAAAACTTGCCTTTCTACTGTAGTTCCTACTTGATTTCAAAGTTCTTACTTCTTTTTTATTTTTTATTATGTTATGTTAGTCACCATACAGTATGTCATTAGTTTTTGATGTAGTGTTCCAAGATTCATTGTTTGCATATAACACCCAGTGCTCCATGCAGTACATGCCCTCCTTAATACCCATCACCAGCCTCGTGTACCCCCCCACCCCTCTCCCCTCTAAAGTGCCTACTTCTTTTTTTTTTTTTTTTTAAAGATTTTTTATTTATTTGACAGATCGCAGGTAGGCAGAAAGGCAGGCAGAGAGAGACGGGAGGGAAGCAGGCTCCCCGCTGAGCAGAGCGCCCTATGCAGGGCTCCATCCCAGGACCCTGAGATCATGACCTGAGCCGAAGGCAGAGGCTTAACTCACTGAGCCACCCAGGCGCCCCATAAAGTGCCTATTTCTTAAGCAGAGTCATTCTGGACTTTGGTCCTCCTTATCCCTTCCTTACCCACACATACAATCGGTGACCAGCTCTTACTGATTTTCTTACTTAATTTCTCCAAAATCTATCTTTGACCCCTGCCTGCTCCCTCCCAATGCCATTGCTTTTGCTCTGTCATTATAGTTATGCAATCTACTAGTTAGTGAGTTACACAAATCATCCTGACAAGCCAAAATAGATCTCAAAATTCAAGCTCTCGAGGCAATATAGCCTGCTTATTAGAAGTGTGGAACCTGGAGTCAGAATGCTTGCATTTGAATCTCAGTTCTGCTGCTTACTTAGCAGTGTGACTCTCTGTGCCCATTTCCTCATATAGAAAATGATGATAATATTAGTCTGTCTATCTCAAAAATTTGTAATGATTAAATGGGATAAATACACACATAATACCTCAAAAACTACCCAACCAGTAGTATGCACTGATTTAATGTTGGCTATCAGGAAATGATAAAATATTCTATAGATTTTCATTTTTATATGAAAATATATGAATTATTAAGGATTATGAAACTTGAAATTATGCTAAAAATAATACAAGCAGAGTTTTCCAAATACTTTAATTTCTTTCTTCTGTCCTTTCTTTCTATTCATTTATTTATATTTATTATTGAATTATAGGTGACATACAGTATTATATTAGTTTCAATTATACAACACAGTGATTTGACATTTATACACACTACAGAATAGTCATTATAAGCCTAGTTACTGTCTGTGACTTCAGTTACAGTTATACAGTTATAAAGCTATTATAATATTATTGGCTACATACCCTATGCTGTATTTTGCATCCCTGTGACATATTTTCTAACTGGGAATTTGTACCTCTTAATCTCCTTTACTTACTTCACCCATTCCCCCAATTCCCTTTACTTCAGCAACCACCACTTTGTTCTCTTTATTTATGAGTCTATTTCTGTTTTGTTTTTTTGTTTGTTTAGATTCCACATATAAGTGATATTATATGGTATCTGTCTTTCTCTGAGTTATTTAACTCAGCATAATATGTTCCAGGTCCACTCATGTTTTTATAAATGGAAAGTTTTTATTCTTTTTATGACTGAGCAGTATTCCACTATGTCTATCTATACCTATACACCACATCTCTGTATCTGTTCATCTGTTGATGGGTTGCTTCTGTATCTTGGCTACTGTAAATAATGGTGCTAAAAAATGTAGGGGTGCGTATCTGAATTATTGTTTTTGTTTTCTTCAGATAAATACCCAGAAGTGGAAATGCTGGCTACTATGGTAGTTCTATTTTTAATTTTTTGTGGAACCTCCATACTGTTTTCCACAGTGGCTGCACTAATTTACATTCCCACCAACAGTGCAGGAGTGTTCTCTTTTCTCTACACCCTTGTGAATACTTGTTATGTCTTATATTTTTGATACTAGCCATTCTGATTAGTGTGAGGTGACATCTCATTGTGAATTTTTTTTAATTTATTTTCAGTGTAACAGTATTCATTATTTTTTCAACACACCCAGTGCTCCATGCAATCCGTGCCCTCTCCAATACCCACCACCTGGTTCCCCCAACCTCCCACCCCTCGCCCCTTCAAAACCCTCAGATTGATTTTCAGAGTCCATAGTCTCTCATGGTTCACCTTCCATTCCAATTTCCCTCAACTCCCTTCTCCTCTCTAACTCCCCTTGTCCTCCATGCTATTTGTTATGCTCCACAAATAAGTGAAACCATATGATAATTGACTCTCTCTACTTGACTTATTTCACTCAGCATTATCTCTTCCGGTCCTGTCCATGTTGCTACAAAAGTCGGGTATTCATCCTTTCTGACAGAGGCATAATACTCCATAGTGTATATGGACAACATCTTCCTTATCCATTCGTCCATTGAAGGGCATCTTGGTTCTTTCCACAGTTTGGCAACCGTGGCCATTGCTGCTATAAACATTGGGGTACAGATAGCCCTTCTTTTCACTACATCTGTATCTTCGGGGTAAATATCCAGTAGTGCAATGGCAGGGTCATAGGGAAGCTCTATTTTTAATTTCTTGAGGAATCTCCACACTGTTGTCCAAAGTGGCTACACCAACTTGCATTCCCACCAACAGTGGAAGAGGGTTCCCCTTTCTCCACATCCCGTCCAACACATGTTGTTTCCTGTCTCGCTAATTTTGGCCATTCTAAGTGGTGTAAGGTGGTATCTCAATGTGGTTTTAATTTGAATCTCCCTGATGGCTAGTGATGATGAACACTCATTGTGATTTTGATTTGCATTTCCCTGATGACTAGTGATGTTAAACATCTTTCCATGTGTCTGTTGGCCTTCAGTTTGTTTTCTTTGGGAAATGTCTATTGAGGTCTTCTACCCATTTTTTAGTTGGGTTGCTTGGGTTTTTTTGGTGTTGGTTGTCTGAGTTATTTATATATTTTGGATATATATATATTTTTTTGAATACTTATTGAGTATACTATTTGCATATATTCTTCTTCCATTCAGTAAGCTGTCTCTTCATTTTGCTGATGATTTCCTTCCCCATGCAAAAGCTTTTTAGTTAGGTGCAATCTCATTTCTTTATTTTTGCTTTGGTTGCCCTTGTCTGAGGATAAAAATCCAAAAATAATATTGCTAAGAACTATGTTTAAGAGTTTGCTGCCTATGTTTTCTAGTATTTTTATGATTTTAGGTTTATATTTAGGTCTAAATGTATAGTTTTATCCCCCTGTAATTGATTTTTAGTGTTTAGAAAAAATGCTTCTTATGATTTTAGTCTTCTTACATTCTTTGAGATTTGTTTGTGACTTAACATGTAATCTATTTTAGACAATGTTCCATTTGCACTTAAAAAGATTATATATTCTGGATGGAATGTTCTGAATATATCTATTAGGTCTATCTGGTCTAATGTGTTGTTTAAAGCCACTGTTTCTATATTGATTTTCTATCCATTGATGTAAGC